CTGCGGCTCGCCGACTGGCCCGTCTGGGGAGGGCCCCCGAGGAGACGGGGGGAGGAGGAAGAGCGAGCACATCGGACGACGATGGAAGAAGGTCGCAGGAGGAGAAGGAGAAGGAGAAGAAGGAGTGGGAGGAGGAAGAGGAGGAGGAGGAGAAGGAGGAGGAGAAGGAGAAGAAAGAAGAAGGGATCAGTCTGGATTCTCTTGGCGAGTCCAGCGGGCCACGAAGACGCACCCCAACAGCAGAGCACCACCGCCACCCCGTAGGGAGCACCGATGGCCTCCCAGTACGAAATGGCCAGGGTCTGGTGATACGGGGCGCACCTCGGCAGGAGTGAAGGGGGGAAGGGGGAGGAATGAGGGAGGAGGGAAGAAGAGGGCTGAGGAGGGGGGAGGGATGAAGGCTGAGGAGAGAGAGCGATGAAGGATGGATAACGAGGATAGACTATAGAAGCACTCCTGGACCCAGCTCCGTCCCCAGGTCTCCGAAGCGACGTGGCTAATCAGGACCGGAGGGCGCGTGACCCGTTGCACGGAGGGGATAGGCTGGGGTGGGGGCCCTCGGCCCTCGAATAGGGATCGCATGCCAGTTGGGGCTGCGCTGTAACAGCCGGCAGTGGAGGTCCCCAGGGGTGGGCGTGGGCGTGTGTGGGCGTGCTGGTGTGACACATCACGCCCTCGGCCTGGCACCTGCGGCAAGGCCACAAACTCGGCGCCGATCTTGCGGTGCACCCCCCGTTCCCCTCCCATTCTCCCCTCCCTGGGCGGTCCCACCACCGCTCCTCGAATCGCCTGCATCGTCCGGCTGCTCGGGCCTGGACTCGCCCGCGCGCGCTCTTCGAGTCCGCTCCCGCGCGCTCTTCACGAATGAAGGGGCCCCAGGACACACAAATAAATATACACAAATAATTATTCACTGCGTGGAGCTCCCCATATGTGCATCTACTCGCATGGACCTGTCCGCCGTGAATGTCTAGGCGCAAGAGCTTTCGAATATTAACGGGCTTCAGTTGTGACGGTCTGGACATCAATCTAACTGCGAATGAATTGGAGTGTGAATGAGCCTCAGTAGTACGAGCGCGTCTCTGTGCATGAGCCTGGGGCCTCCTGGGGCCTCCTGAAACCTACTGGGGCTTCCTGGGGTCTCCAGGAGCCTCTTGGGACCTCCTGGGACCTCCTAGGAAGGTTTCGTGCCCCAGGGGAGGCGCAATCTATAGCAACAGACGTACATAAAACATTGCGGATTAGAGCCACAGGAGAAGGGCAATCTATAGGAACACGCGTAAAACACCAAGGACTCGTGCCCCAGGAGAGGCCCAATACATAGGAACATGAGTAAAACATTTAGGATTGTGTACACAGGAGAAGGACCATCTATAGAAACATACGTAGAACATCAAAGAATCGTGCTCCAGGTGAGGCCCAATCGATAGGAGCATACGTAAAACACATGGGATTGGAGCCACTCCTGTTGCCTTCTGAGGCCTCCTGCTCCTGGGGCCTCTCGGGGCCTCCTGTTGCCTTCCGAGGCCTCCTGGCGCTTCCTGTTGTCTCCTGGGGTCTCCTGTGGTTTCCTGAGGCCTTCTGGAGCTTCCTGGGGCCTCCTGGAGCCTCTTGGGACATCCTGTGGCCTCTTGAGTCTTTCTGTGGCCTCCTGATGCCTCCTGGGACCTCATGTGGTCTCCTGGAGCCTCCTGGAGCCTGTTGGAGCCTCCTGTGGCATCCTGAGAAGAATCTGCGCCCACGAGCCTGGCCACCAAAACTAGCAAACCGATCGAGACATCCTCAAAATCTGGCCCACCTGGGGGGTGAAAATGAGCGCCTCGCTCGAGACATCCTCCAAATCTGCTCCGAAAGCGAAGGATGTTGGGCACAGAAACAGGCAAACCGCCTGAGACATCCCCACAAAATGGCCGCGAACGAGCCCGTGCAACCACCCCTGGCGGCTCCCCTTAGGGGTGCTGAAATGAGCGCCTCGCTCGAGACATCCTCCAAATCTGCTCCGAAAGCGAAGGATGTTGGGCACAGAAACAAGCAAACCGCCTGAGACATCCCCACAAAATGGCCGCGAACGAGCCCGTGCAACCACCCCTGGCGGCTCCCCTTAGGGGTGCTGAAATGAGCGCCTCGCTCGAGACATCCTCCAAATCTGCTCCGAAAGCGAAGGATGTTGGGCACAGAAACAGGCAAACCGCCTGAGACATCCCCACAAAATGGCCGCGAACGAGCCCGTGCAACCACCCCTGGCGGCTCCCCTTAGGGGTGCTGAAATGAGCGCCTCGCTCGAGACATCCTCCAAATCTGCTCCGAAAGCGAAGGATGTTGGGCACAGAAACAAGCAAACCGCCTGAGACATCCCCACAAAATGGCCGCGAACGAGCCCGTGCAACCACCCCTGGCGGCTCCCCTTAGGGGTGCTGAGTATGAGTAAGTCCGTGTATGAGTAAGTCTGTGTATGTGTACGTCTGGGTATGACTAATACTGTGTATGAGTAAGTCTGTGT